GAAATAATTGAGAGGAATTAGGAGAACTCCTTTGTAGCTGAACTTGATTCATATTTAGATCCAAGTGGTGACTACAAGATGTGTTTGTGTATCAACACATTTTTCAGTTTCAACAGAATGTGAGGAGTGTACAGTCACAAATGTTGATGCTGCTAAATAAAATATATTTTTTTAATATAAATAAATATGTATATTAAAACAAAAGTTGAATGTTGAAGAAAAGTTAAATGATAACATATTGTCTTGGTTGTATCTTTCTTCCTTGTTTCTTTTAGAGTTTCTGATTGAATGTAAATAGACTTGTAATTTTTACTGAATTAAACACTGCCATTCTTATATTACATAAAAAAATATAAACAACTGTTTTTGGTTTGTAGTTATTTTGGGATACTGTTTGTAGGCACTTTCCTTTATTTAGATAAAAAAAGGTAGTAAAGACCGCACACTATAAATCTATCAAACCACATGTAAGTATATAAAAATGTTAAGATGACTTGTATACCTATTTCATTATATTCAATTAAGTCAAATTTTTTTGTTTTTAAATTTTAATTATGAGCACCAATTTCTGAAATAAAATAATAATAATGTAAAATATTATCTATAACATACATATTCTTATATTGTTATAAATGTAAGAATCTTCCTTTTGGTTCATGTCTTCATTTAAAATATTTTTCCATTGAATGAATTTCTCCAAATTTGGATATTCAGGTTTAGGAAACTGATGAAAAGGACCTGAAATGTTTTTATTAGAAGTCAATAAACTGTTACGGTTGAAATTTATGTAACAAGAGTTGTAATTGATTATGTATAGTATATATATATGACAAATATCATTTTTTTTAGATTTTACTAAATAAGTATCGTACCTTTAGTCGCACACCGAAAATAACACTTAATATCCGATTTTCGTGGCATTTTTTCAAGTTATCGATAATCCAAATTCGGGGTTTGCAATCAAAATCCAAATGAGAAGAGTCGGGGTCGATCGTAGTCGCAGAAAACAAAGTCCAATTAAGAAAAGCCGGAGTCGATCGTCAAAAGCGTTATTATTATTTGTATTATAGACAGGCAGCTGACAGTGTTCAAGATTTGTGACAGTTTGACAAGAAAATAAACCATAGAATATGAAACATCATACTCTATGGTATAGTTTCAAATATCATATTACAACTAAAATTATTCAAGTGTTTCAATTTAGAAAATATTATGGAGAACAATATTGAATAGAAAAGACTTAAAATAGACAAATCAGGTTATAGATTACCATTAGCCTATCAGAACCCATTGCTAATCAAAGGCCTCTTCTTCTATGGAGAGGGTTTGAGCATTAAACACCAAGCTTGCTCAAGGCGGGTTGGCAATTTCAAATTTATAAGTCCAGGTTTCCTCACGATGTTTTCCTTCACCGTATGTCAGTGATGTCTAAATACTTTTAGAAAGTACATATAACTCGGAAAAATCACATTGGTACATGCCAGGTTGTACATAAGGATTTGTTTTTTTTTCATTCGAGCAAAAAACCCGTAGTACGTTAGGGAAAAGCAATAAGTTACACAGTAGGTACTTACATCACGAGGAACAAAAAACAATTTGATTTCCGTAAATCGGTGAGGACCGAGGGGACAGCTTGAGTGATGGACGATTAATATTCATTGAACGATCGACAGCCGGCGGTGGACGGTCAGCACATCTAGTCAGGAGTCACTGAAGGAAAATATATATAACATGTATGTTACTCGTGCGGAAGTAATATGTTGGATATTATAACTTGTTTATATTCATAATCATTTGTGGGAAAATAGAAATAACACGATAGAATGAGATCTAAGACTTTCGTGAGTATTCATTTGAATGAAACTAATATTTTTCGGTTTACTACGCGTATTTTATTATTTTAAAAACATCATACTTACCTACAACCGTAATTACGTTTGTTTCTTTTAAAGGAGTCACTCTTCTTAAAATATTAGGATATTTGATGTCGTTACAAATCAACACGTAGGAGATCAATTGCCACTGATAAACTCCCAGCACAGAGGTAATGGTGTTCAAATTGAAATTAGCAATCGACTTTCACCGATGTCATAATAGTCAAAGGTGCAACAACAGCATTACTCGAGGTCTCAGGTAAATGTTAATGTTTCGTGTTATAATAAATGAGTTGGACGATCTTTACAGTCGGTACTCCGTGACGGGAACACTAAACATAACATATAATATGTTCATTAAAGTTTAATACATATGTACATGTACATTTAACACATCATTCTGAAACTGCCAACCCACAATGTATAAGAGAGGGGGTGTGTGTAATAGGTGTGGAATATTTTTTATTATATTAATTTATTGTTTTTGGAATACGAAGAGGAAAAGATTTGATAAAAATAAGTTCCTATATATTCAAACGCAACCATATTTCCATATATACATAAATACATGTATATAATTAGATTAAAAATATTATATAATATGTAACTACAGTTTATAATATAAATACATATGGAATATTAGACATATAACGTGACTCGAAATATTATAACATTAATAATAAGTGAATAAATCGCTTACTTAATTGTTTTACCTACAAGAAAACTCTTCTTATAATTATAGTTGTCTAATAGAGTTTGAACTACTCGGTACTCTTGAGATAGCACCGAGTAGACCATTACACAGTCGTGTGGCAACCACAGATAATGATCAGCTCATGAAACAAGAGTAACATTGAGTGTTAGTATAAGAGGAATTGTTAAGGACGGAAAATAATACGTAATACAAGGTGTCCACTGGCAGATTTTGAATCGAGCTCACCCACACTAATGAACCGTTAGGGCGAGGAGCGATGTTTCATTTGCGCGGGAGTGTTGCGAGTTGCTTAGTAGCCAGAGTCAACACCGTATGTTCTGCGGTTGAAATGTATTTCGCGAATAATTCGATTAATTCGAATTGGCTTCTGAAGATTAGAGAAATCAGTCAAAAATAATGCCCAGCCTGGACCTTCAACGCCTATACTACTTCTAATAAATTTAGAACTTGTGAGAAGAGAATTTATGTCAAATCCCTGAAAGACTGCCCGTTAAATTACAGAAGCAAGCGATTGAAAAGCACAATTACGATAAATAAATTAAAGTTCCATTCATACAAGGTCCACATAATCCAATAAATAAAATAATATGACTTCATAAAAAGGCTGAATTTTGCAAGACTCTTTCTGGATCTATTTTTTACGCTTACACGGCCCATGGGCGGGCGGGGGGTGTTTTAATGGACAGAATATGCGTTATTAGAGTGTAAGCAACTCAAAATAAATCCATGAAAAGCCTCTTTGTAGATTGGTACGCTTTTTTCTTAAATGACATAATTACTTTTTATTTTCACGACAGAGGAGAAACCGTTCAAGAACAATGCGGCGAAATAAAGATAGCTACACACTTATACACTTTCAAAATATGTACAATAACAGAATTCACTGTCAGCAAGATGGGGCTCTGGCAAACACTTTTAAGGACTCAAAGAGTAAACTCAGATTTTTTTTCTCCTGTACTGATACCTCAAACCTCGTATCTGCAACAATTCAGCATCAACGATAAAGACCCTTCGATAAAATATCCGCAGCGAGTTTTCGGCTCTCAGTCTAGAACTTTGCAGGAGTGTTTGAGGCAACTTGAAAGAAAGACTGCAAGAATGTTTGTGACCTGAAAGACGCTATTTCAGTGGAATAATTTTTAAAACCTGAAATCCGCGTTATTAATCTGTGTGATGACAAAGAAATAACTTTATTTTTCTGTATATTTCGTTTTATTTATTTTTTAAGTTTAAAATGTGCCGGCGGACACCCTGTATTTCATTTCATTTTAGTTGTCAGTGATATCTTCACAGGTAGTCAGAACTAGTAAGATTAAAAATAAATCTTATATGTTTATCAAAGAAGCGTTCAATTTTCTTGAGAAGTTCATGACTTACAACACGATAACAAACATGTGCAAACTCAATTAGTTAAAGTAACAAGCAGTTAATGAAGAATCCAAACAAAATACTTATTTAAGGAAAAAAATCTTACAAGCCAATAAATTTACAAGAAATCTGTTTGAAGTCTTTCGTTCCCGAAAAGGTAAATATTAATTACCAGGCCCATCTCCTTTATGTGATCGTTTAAAACCAAAGGTGTGCGATTACAACACAATGACACTTAATTATTTATATTAAGCTTTTCCAACTTATTGACAGATACCAAAAAGATGTGCCCATCGTTATAAGGAACTCACTGTAGTGAAAATGTTTGTGAACTTAATAAATAACTAGTGTTAATAAAAGTTATGAATATGGAGAATAATTAATCTTATAATCGTCATTAACGTTAGACGGAATGGGAGAACGGAATTGTAATCGGTTATTGTCATCGTCAACTTTGAAAATCGTAAGTATAGAAGTCTTTCAAATACGTATACTGTATATAACTTAAGAAATAAGTAATTATGTAGTGAATAAATGAAGCAGCGTATACTGTAATATTATGTTAATGTTAATAGTAAACTGTAAAGACGTTAAATACCATCATCTGTTGTTGAGTAAATTCTTTGTTAATTTTAGTGGAGCCATCTCTGCTCATTAAAAAGAATTAGTGATGGTTATAGCTCCTCCATCGACCGCTAGATGATGTTAATGTAAGTAAAATAGTGATACAATTATAACTTGCCTAAATTTTGATTATCCTTGAACTGAATAAAAAACTATAAATATGAATGTATGTATATTATAGAATATAGATGTATACTAAAATTATACATAGGAGGTCTGTAAAATCTTTACATTGTTTGTTGTTTATATTTTTGTAAAGGTATTTACTTACTTTCATCATCATCCTATCAGAGCCCATTGCTGAGAAAAGACCTCCTCTCACAGGAAGAAGATTCGAGCATTAATCGTGACGTTTGCTCAAGACGGGTTGACGATTTCAAACTTGTGTGTTACATACAACTAGGTACGAGTATATAACATTAAGGTATCAGGGAGTGCTCACACCGCTCACAGAACACGTATCGCTCTCGTTTCATTGAGCAATAAAATCTCTGGTTATGGCAATTCAATACTAAGGCAGTGGAAGCGATAAGAACGGGCTGGAGAGGGACCAGGGTGGAGGATACAGGAGGGAGGGAGGGAGGGTGGGGAGAGGCAGGGGTCGTGGTTGTGGTCAACGTGCAACCGACAGACCCCGACTTTGTTGTATTAAACATATAATATGACGTGCTTATTACAATATATATACACGTTGCACATGTCACCGTGTTCCTTACGAGTATGATACATGGATCATAGTGGTGAGTGAGGGGTGCCCAGGCCGCGGAAGGGCTGCTGGGACTGTGAGACGCGAGTGGTCTCCGATCAGCTGCTGACAGCCTCAATGAAGATGATTGAACAAACCACGTCATATGAAATCAATTGTTATAATGTTAGTAAACTGTACACTGTACACTACTATTGAATACATTGTTTTGTAATATGTTCCACAAAATACTCACTAATTCTTTGAGTAGATTAAATAATATGATTTGATTGAGTTATGGATTATAATTTATTTTAACAAAGTAAAGCATTAGTATGAACCTCGCCAAAAGCTTGTTAAATAATATAAAAATAACATTATATAAACACCGCCACATGTCCAACAATGTGCTGGTTATACATATATCATCATCTGGTTGTGTCCTCTCAGTCCAGTGTCTACGGAACACGAGGCCCTTCATCTGTCAAGTATTAAGAGACATTCCGATCGATGTTGTAACATATTATATGATGTAAGAGCGCTGCCTCGCTGCCTGTGCTCCACGGTCCACACATCACGGTATGTATATGTATGAAGTTGAAATGATCAACTTTAAATAGTTCTCAAGTATTTCAGCTCACTGCGAGTGAACTTAGAGTGGAGGGAGAAGCCGAATGTGTGTGGAGTGTGGAGTGTGGTGTGGAGCTCTAATGAAGGTGACTGTGTTCGCTCCTCCTGACACGGCTCGTAAGAACGTCCTCACACTAGTTAGCGACCCGCCGACCCGCCGACCACTCACTGTCTAAAAATATTCAGTTATTAAAATCCCCGATGACTGTACGTAACTGGAGTCGTCGAAGGGGAGTGTTCCAATAACGAGAGTCGGTCGTGGTACTTACAACTTTAATGATAACTTGAATGAGCAATCGCTTCCACTCGTAGTTGGTAATGGCCCGCCGCCATTGTGCGGGTTCGGCGCCCTTACCATGTGAAATGGGGCTGCATTATACAGCGGTTGGCTCGGCGGCGCTACGCTCTCTAATATTGTTGGAATTTGGCTCGATGAATACGAGTTGGCCGACTGTGCCGCTACGTGCTCAAGAGCCGTACAATTTATCGTTGGCGTTTAGTTTTTACTGAGCACGTTCTGCCAGAAAAGACGCAAGCGATTCACTACGCGGCTTCCGACCGATCGACCGACAGACACAAGCGTCAGGTGCAACGACAACTACTTGGAATAATAAATATTGATAAACTTCAGGATATGTGGTAGGAAAGTTCAGAAACTAAACATAACACTAATTTAGAGGTTTTAGAACGAATCGGTTATTAGCAAGTTTAAAATTAACAGACAGAAACAAAAATAAACACGGCTATCATGAAACGTGTGAGGGCAGTATTGGATATATATTATGACGTATGGGTTATATATAACTATGGTTAATGATTTAAGATATTTATTCCCATTGAGAAATTTTTATCACTTACATGAGAATTACACTTATAACAAAACATTGATGAATATACGGTTCGACATCGCACTTGTAAAAAAAAATTAAATGAAATAACACTTAACTATAACTGTCCATGAATTCAGGTGTATTTAAATAAAAAACGGAGTTAAGCTTGAGGTCAGTATATTCACTTGAAGGGCGTAATCTTAAAAAGTGAATAACAAAAAAGAAACTGCGTCGGTAGACATAAAATAATACAGAAAGATTAATAATATGAGCAATCACGGTGCACAATGATGTTGCTATTGAATTTTAACAGGAGTTATTAAATTAACAAGTATAATTAGTATGTGATTTTTAGACATGCCCCCAGGCGTTGAAAGCACCTCTTTCAACAATCTTCAGGTTGTTTCAATAGGCATATTTTGCTGAATGCCCTCCGAACAATTCCATTTGCAGTCCTTACATCTGCTACTCGAATAACACCATCCGCTCCTGGGTACACATTGACGATTCGACCCAACTTCCATCTGAGCGGTGGTAGATTGTCATCCTTCAGAACGACGAGACTGTTAAGTTTAAGGTGGTTTTCGGATTTTTGCCATTTCATCTTCATCTGAAGACCCGAGAGATACTCTTTACTCCATCGCTTCCAAAACTGTTGACGGAGTTGCTCAAGTCTTTGATAACGCGTCAGCTTGTTGATGTTTTGAGCTTCGTAATTTGGAGCCGGCAGTGAAGTCAACGAGCGTCCGATGATAAAGTGTCCGGGTGTAAGAGGCAATAAATCTGCAGGATCTGTAGACATGTAAGTTAGTGGCCGGGAATTCAGTATGGCTTCGATTTGTACCAATACAGTATAAAGCTCCTCGTACGTAAGATTACAATTTCCCAGTACTCTTTGTAAATGATATTTTGTAGACTTGACACCTGCTTCGCTCAAGCCATTATAATGTGGTGCATAAGCTGGAGTAAAATGAAATTTGATGCCATCATCGGCAACAGTCTCAGATAAAACATCACTATTGGTTTTAATAAAACTTGCAATATCGTTGCACGCGCCAACAGACGAAGTACCGTTATCAGAGTAAATATTTTTAGGTTTCCCCCTACGAGACATAAATCTACGCAAAGCTTACAAGAAACAATTGCTCGTTAAATCACCAACTAATTCGATGTGCATTGCTTTAGTAGAAAAACATACGAAAACTGCAATATACGCTTTTAGTAATCTACTTCCACGACCTTGTCGACTAACAATCATAATTGGACCAGCATAATCGATTCCTACGTTCTCGAAAGGATAACTGACAGATACACGCTGTTGTGGTAAATTCCCCATTATAGGTGAAACTACCTTAGGTTTTAATCGAGCACACCGGATACATTGTCGATAACATAACTTGGCCAAATTCCTACCTCCTATTGGCCAAAACGATTCCTTAATCGTACTCAGTAACAGTTGCGGACCTGCATGTAATAGTCGTCTATGCTCGTAATGAAATAATAGTTTAGTAAAAGGATGGTTCGAATGAATCAAAATCGGATGTTTTTTATCAAATGTAAAGTTACCATGTTCTAAACGGCCTCCAACACGAAGAATTTTAAAATCATCGAGGAATATATTTAATTTGAGTAACGCGTTTTTAGCAGGTAAGTTTTTATCTTTTATTAATAGTTCATATTCCGGAAAAGATTGTTTTTGTGATATTTTGATTACAAAATTTAATGCATTATCCAATTCTTCGACAGTTAAAAATTTATCTTTAATTAATTCTTTCTTACAAATTCGAATAAAGCGTAAAACATAAGCTACAGTACGTTTAAGTCTAGATAAATTAGAAAATCTATTAAAATCAATGAATTCATTGTTATTACTTTCTACGGCTATATTTGCATTAATTACAGAACGTAATTCTGGAAGAGTTTCAGAACTAGCGGGATGAGGTGGCCAATGTGACATATCGAGTCTTAAAAGGCTCGGGCCTAACCACCAAATCTCAAGCGACATCAGAGCCTTAATATTAACACAGACAGCTAGAAATGGTGCACTGGCTGTACCATAGGTCACCGTATTTAATTCATAAATATGTTAATTATCATCTGTATTATTACGCCAGATGATTCTTTGATGGTGTCTATCGTCTGGACGTACCGAAATCTGTCTGTACATTTCCTCCACGTTATTAATAAAATAAGAAAATTCATTACATTTTAAATTAGATTTGGACATATGGCCTAGTGATAAATATTCCAACATAAAATCATGATATTTAGTTTTTAGTAAAGGCTGATTATTATTAAGACGACGTTCAGGAGACAAAAAACAATGTTTAGCACGCTGATAAGACTCACCTAAAGTTTCAATATTATTTTTTAAAGGATTTCTCACGCAAAAGCGGCCATCTGGAAGAAGGGAAGTATTAATAATAAAATGTTCTTCGCACGTTTTTACTTCCTTAGAATAATAGGAGGATTTATAATTAATTTCCTCTAACTGCCAAAATCGTGATAAATTCTCTTGAATAACTTCATTTGAATCTAAAAAATCATTATCAGACTCTATTTGTGCTAAATTACATTTAATATGTGCTGGCGAGCGATTCGATACATGACCGCTAAGCATGGGTCCAGAAACTATCCAACCAAGTTTAGTTTCAAAAAGTATCGGTTTGCCGCTACCTAGCTTAATAATTTGTGATCCTAATAAATCCCAAAAAAGGTCAGCACCAATGATTAAATCAATATCTCCGGGTGCATAAAATTTAGGATCAGCTAAATTAATATTAGATTTGATATCTAACATCGAAATGTCTAAATGACTATAAGGCACTTTGCTTATGATCGATGGTAAAACAAAACAAGTAACATTTGTAAAATAATTATTATTTAAAGATTTCATTTGCACACGACACATTTTACCTATTTTCAGAGTGCAATTATTTATTCCTGTTACAGAACGATCGACATTATAATAAGGTAAGTTTAATTTATTACACATATTTTCTGTAATAAGACATGATGTACTTCCGGAATCAAGTAACGCACGAGCAATATATTCCTAATTTCTGGAGTCATACAACTTAACAAGAGCTGTTGATAATAGCACATCATGATTACCTTGGTTTGAATTTTTCAAACATGCCGATAAAGAAATATTTGATCTGGAACTAGAATACATATTGTTCGAATCACTCTTGTCCGTGTTTAATGATCCAGCATTAACTGGTGATTGCGACTTCGAACCTGATGCATGGATAAGCGTGTTATGCCGACGTTTACATATCCTACAACCAGGCTTTTTGCATTGATTTGCATAGTGACCAACATGTAAACAATTGTAACATATTTTATAGTTAAGTACGAGTTTCAATCGCTCTTCATTATTAAGACCTAAAAACTGCGGACAATTTTTAAGCGGATGCTCACCTTTACATTTAACGCAAGGTTTAGGTGTAGATGAGGCTATAGAAGATTTATCATGAGCCTGGCTTAGACTTGCAATAGAAACCATGCTTTTAAATTTCGTGTTCCGTTTAATAGACTGGTGAGAATAATTATTACTTCGCGATAACTCTAAGGCCTCTAGCAAATCAGCACGATTACGCAAAAAATTTATAAATACGTCTAATGTAAGAGGTTCACCCTTACCAAGACGGCTCTTAAGTTCCTCCCATTCGCGATTCGTCTTAGTATCTAATTTTTGTATTAT